AAGCCTGTCAGGGGTTGCCCAGAGAGGGGGTGGAGGCCCCATCCCTGGGACCATTCCAGGCCAGGTTGGACGGGGCTGTGAGCAACCTGATGTGGTTCAAGGTGTCCCTGCTCCTGCAGGGGGGTTGGGCTGGGTGACCTCTGGGGGTCCCTTCCCACCCAAAACATTCCATGATTCTGTGATTCTACAGCTGGAGCTAAAATGAATGGCTCAGGGAGCGCCCATGGCATCTGCAGGGTCTGGAAGGTGGTCCCTGCCCATCCCGCTCGCTCAGCCCTCGTTTCTTCGTAGGAAGAGTTGCCATAAGACCAAAGCACCGGCAAGCAGCACTGCCTGTGTTTGCAGGAATCCGCTTTGGGTGCTTGGGAAAAGAGAGGTGTTTCTGGGTGAAGATCCCAAAGAGGCAGAACCCAGGGAAGCCCCACTTGCAAGAGGCAAGCTCTGAACTTGGAGGGAGGCAGAAACCCAGAGCGAGAAAGAGGACTGGGGCCCCACCGACCTCTGAGGAGTGAAGCTTTCCTTTCCTCTCCTTTTATCCCGGTGTCCATAGCAAGTCCCATTTCTTGCCCTTGCAGCAGCATCTCCGGCACAGCCTCCCCCCTTCTCCCCGCTCCCCATAGGACACTTCAGCTATTTAAGCTGTTCTCCAGGTTCCTGGGTTTGAAAGCGAGAGGGGAGGGAGGAGGAGGAGGAGGAGGGTGTCTGGAAAGCTCTTATTTGTATTGATAATAAGCCGTCTCCAACGCGCGCCTGCAAAACACTCCCACTGCCTTGTAAGATGCATTAAGGAAAGTTGGCCTTATCTCGGCGCGGGAAATGGACTTGGGGAAGGAGGCTCGGTGCCTGCCGGAGTTTAATCTCACTTAGGCACATGAATTTGCATGATAGAAAATGGTGGAATTTTAGTGCTTAGAAAGAAAGAAAGAAGGGGAAAAAAAAAAAAAAAAAAAGGCAGGCAACTGGGGGATATTAGGCTTTCTCTCGCTTCTTTATCAGTTTCCCTGGCCCTATCTGGCTCTTGCTGTTGTCACTGGAGCAACTAATCACCCCTCCCCTTTTGTTTGGTGTAAATGAGTTTTCCCACTCCTTCCCGCGCCCCGGTTAATCTGCAAATCCCTGCCTTTGTTTGGGAGTTAATTACCTGCTCGCCCAAAGTTCGGGGGGCTGCGGGCGCAGGTGGCAGGGGGCTGCCCCACTGGCGGGGGACACACGTGGCACGCCGGT